ATCCACCGCCAGGTACAGGTAAAAGGAATGCACAGCTTCAATTCAACAAAGACAGATGATTCCCCTAAAAGGTGGCTCGATTCTCGGAAGCAGAATGGCCCAACCTTGGAGACAGCTCACAAAAAAGAGCCAAAAGGAAACTGCTTATGGTGCAGTAAATTTTATTAAAATGTAAGGAAGCAACCATGTGGAGCATAAAACAAATGTGATCCATTTACAAAGATGGCCACCGGACTATTGTAGGGATGCGGCGGCGCGCCGTCAGCACGTAGGCTCTTCCATATCATTGACTAAACAAGATGGTGTTGGCCCCTCACCACAACAGAGCAGACCTCAGCAGGCTGCACACTTAGGAGAGGGAGAAAGACATCATGCAGGTCTGTATGGATTCAGTATATGACTGTGATGTTATGCTGGAAAATAATACATTTGAGGATCAACTCAATGCCTTTCCTACATCAGGCCAACCTATTGTAGATTCCACACTTGGAGATGCTGTTGTCACTGAGAGGAGTGCTACAAAAAGGTATGCTGAATTTTATGCAACAGTCTAAAATGGAAATTGATGCATTGGAGGAAAGAGTGGAAAATACAGAAATTGTCTGTAAAATGAGTGATTTCACAGTGGCACATAATGACCTAGTGGACGTCCACTTTGATCTGAAGGGTGAAATCAAAAATCTTAAACTTAAAGTGGCTGACCTCGAGGACAGGTCAAGATGCAACAATGTGAAATTTGGGAAATACCTGAAAATGTAAAATCTGCAGTTCTGACACAGTTTCTCAAACGTATGATAGTAGAGCTGCTACCCACAATGCCACAGCATGAGCTAGTGATTGGCAGGGCTCATAAGCTATCCAAGCTGTCGTATATACCTGAGAAACTGTCTAGAGATGTAATTGCCAAAATTAAATTTTTTCATGGAAAAGATCAATTGATGCAGTTTGCACATAGTCACTTGCCACTACTAGACCCATATGCGGGTATTATATTGTATTCTGACCTCTTCCAAGCAACAATTCTGGCTCAGAAGAACCTAAACTCAATTACCAAAATCCTCTGCAACCATAATATAACTTATAAGTGGGGGTTTCCTACCAAGCTATTGGTGGACAGAAACAATACCTCCTACTCTATTTTCACTGTAGAAGATGCCCTGAAAATTCTTAAATCATAGAGTTTAATACCCAATAGTGATGGCAATTTCATGGACACAGTTACTACAGGGAAAATTTCATGGAAATGGAAAATAAGCAATGGATGAATTCTTCTTTCTTCCTAAGAAAGAATCTATCAATACGCAGTTCTGATCTTTTTGATGAGCATTAATAAAAAATTAGTTTTAAAAAAAAGGTCTATCATTATATCATTGCACATAAATACCAAGGAGAGAGCTATTATATAATGGATTTGTTTTCAGAGAGCCAAAACATTCTTAGAAATAAAATGGTCAATTTCTGCAAATTGACTCAAAGGGGTTTATTTACTAAACCTGGAGAGTACAAAGTCAGGCTCACGTCTGCATAGAAACCAATCAGCTTCTAACCTCAGCTTGTTCAATTAAGCTTTGGCAATGAAACCTGGAAGCTGATTGGTTTCTATGCAGAAGTGAGCCTGACTTTGTACTCTCCAGGTTTAGTAAATAAACCCCAAACTGTCAATAACCCGTTTCTTCCTATTTGAACTGGTGTAATAAAATACTCTTTATATTGTTAAAGTGAAATCTCTCCTGTCTGCTTGTGCCTTTGGTGCTTGGTGGAAAACTATGCTGCTATTTAATTTTCATCTTCTTCCTTTCCTATTGTAAGCCTCTGATTTATAATTGATTGGCATTGCAGCAGGCAAAATTCCTGTCTAGTGATGTCTTTTATTTCACAAGACCAAGTAAGCATTACACTGTAGATACACCTCCTGAGCTACAGAGAATGTCAGTCACTTGTCATGTATTCTGTGTGATGCATACGACTTCCAAGGAGCCACTTTTTAATCCAAATGAGATACTGTAAGGCCTGACCTTCCCTTTTGTAGTAGTGTGATCTAGACTGCAAACACAAATAACAACATATTGTTTCAACTGCATTAGGGAAGATTATCTGCATAGAAGCCTTCCTCCTCACTGTACACACTGAAGAAACTTTTGTATAGGTGACACTGAACCCTATGTTGTGTTGTTTTTTTGTGTGCATGCAATTTTTGTTCCTCGGTAAGTACAGCTGACTTGCTGTGTTCTTTATTTTATTAGGTGAAATGTTCACTGCATTATACAGGATATAGATAGTCACATCATATGCTTTCATTTTATAACTTCAGCATTGTAATAGCAATGCAAATTATAGTTATTTTTAATTTTTAAGTCTACTTGAAACATTTCCTTTTATGTTGTGTACTGTCGGCCTGCATGACATCTCTTTTCACAGCCTCCTGCATCCCCTGCATGCTTTGCAGCTTTTCCTCTGCTGCTCGCTTTCAATTTCTAGGGACTACATATCCCATGGTATCTTGCTGCCTGCAAGCAGTAATTCCTGTACTGATTCTGCCTCCACAAACATCTTCCCTCAGCACCTCTGTATTTCAGAAAGCAGGCTTTGTGAAATGTGTGACACAGCAGTGCCTTTTCACAAGGCATAGTAAATATGTGTCACAGAATTCAAGGAAGTAAATGTGTGGACTTATTCACAAAGTAAGTTTGCAGATTTCATAATCATTCAGATTAATAGAAGTAGGCTAGAAATAATTGAAATTCAATCAGTGTGTGTTACTGCAATGCTGAATCCTCCTGCCAGATGGTGCACAGCGGAATTAAATGAAGCAAGGATGATCATAGGACCCCTATAGTTTTAAAACAGAGAACCTTAATAAATGGTAAAATAAGGGTAGCTTTGCTTGTTTTTTATTGTGACATCTGTCCCCAATGAGGAAAATCTATCTGTCTCTTTGTTCAGGTGACTATTGGCACCAGGGCAAAGGTGGTTGGGAATCCAAAATATTAAAGTTGTCACCAGAACAGGAGGTGAAGAGAAATATTCTTGGGGACACCTGTTTTTGGTGACAACTGTCTAGCAGGGGATTTCTTCCACTTTGGAATTAGTTCCTTTCACTTCCTGCTGTGTCTTTAGGGTCAGGACTTTAGATATATCTCAATATCTTTTTTATTATTGAACCTCCTACTACATCTCTACAAATAATACCACTTTATTCATATAAGCGTGACAAAAAAATGGGCCATTCAGAAGGTTTCTAGGGACCTTAGATTGGGAGATCAAGTCAAGCCAAAAACATGCCCCATGTTGAGTCCAAATAGATTTATACCATAAACTCATTGATTCCTTGGGGGCTGAATGCAAAGATCAAGGTATTTGCCTTCAACTGACCCCCCCCCCCCCCCAGTATATTAGAAAGAGTTTGAAAGCCAATCATTTTTATCGTAGCTGTCTGTAATGTTTTGCATGGGACGTCAAAATTTTTATCTGCATACATTTTGTTTTGATGTATTTTACAAAGTTCTTTATTGACCACTTAAGAAGCATTTTAGGATAAGTTTTGGTACACATATTTTTAGTATTCATTTTTGTTATTTTTCTATTAATGATAATAGTATCTCTAATATTATTTTTGGAATTTATTTTTTAGCTTCTCATAGACTTCTTATTTAGGTCATTTTGCTTTATTTTATGTTTTGGGTAATTCCCCATATTAAAATTTTATTTTTAATTTTTTTAAAACCAATGTTCAATCCAAAGTCAAATATCCCACTATAATATTGGGGAGCTTGGCAATCCAGCATAAAAAGTTGTAATTCCTCTTTGAACAGCTGACTCAAAATCCTCACAAAGGAATTTATACTAGAAAACAAAACAGAGCACATTTAGGAGTATCAGCAGATGGACAAGTAAATTGGAATCAATGCATGCAGCTCATCTTGGCAAGTTGCTGGGGAAACACCAACTTGTGTCCCTGCTGACCAGTTTACCTGGCAGTCATCCACAGTAAATTCCCAAGAGATCTTCAAAAACACACCCCAGATTGGGTGTACCATGCTCAACACCAGTGCTGCTGGATATCAGGAGTCCACAATGTACAAAGTAAGGTGGTGTATTATGATAACAATAGATAAACAAAAGTCCCAAATTTATTAAAATCAATAAAACTCAATATGTTTCAGAGCATGTTTTTTTTAGCAGCGCTGTAGGGGATTATAGTTGTCAGGGCTTCCGGGTATGACCAGAGGTGTGTGACTGACGCAGGGAAACGCAGACTTCAGATATGTTATAAACAATGTAATTTAATAACACTAACCATACAAACATAAACGCAGTGCAATACTAAAACATAACACAGTGCAAACGAACCAAACCAACCACCCACAGATAACAGTACATACAATGCAAGCGTCGTCAGGCAGGCCGGTCAATATCAATTGGGCAGGTAGGTACAGGGGGAGCAAGCGGAGAATGGTCGGGGTCACAGGCCAGGTTCAGCAGGTAGCGGGCAGCGTGGTACAGAGGGTCAGGCAGAGGAGAATGGTCAGACAAGCCAGGGATCAGAGCAGGGTAGCAGAGAATCAGACAGGAACAGGGAGCAGGAACAGGATGCAGGGCCCAAGAGAAACACAACACCAAGGCAGAGTCTGCAGGTCTGAATGTCCCTTAAATACACCAGTATAATTAGTTCCAGGTGTTTGACTGGCTGCAAGGTTGAGTCTCTGATTGCTGGGAGCACCCCGCTGGCCAGCCCTGGTACTGCAGCTCATAAGGCAGCTGAGTCCCACTATTGCTGGCCAGTCCATTCCTGACAGTACCCCCCCCCTCAAGGAGCGGCCTCAGGACGCTCCAAACAGTCCTAGCTGGGCAAAATGTTCCACCGCCCGGGTCTGGTAACTGGCGGGATATCAAAGACTGGCACACCGGGCAGGACTCCGGGCAGCGGCACACGGGCAGAGGCACATCGGGCAGGACTCCGGGCAGAGGCACATCGGGCAGGACTCCGGGCAGAGGCACATCGGGCTGGACTCCGGCAGAGGCACATCGGGCTGGACTCCGGGCAGAGGCACATCGGGCTGGACTCCGGGCAGAGGCACATCGGGCTGGACTCCGGGCAGAGGCACTTCGGGCAGAGGCACACCGGGCTGGACTCCGGGCAGAGGCACACCGGGCAGAGGCACACCGGGCAGAGGCACATCGGGCTGGACTCCGGGCAGAGGCACATCGGGCTGGACTCCGGGCAGAGGCACATCGGGCTGGACTCCGGGCAGAGGCACATCGGGCCGGACTCCGGGCAGAGGCACATCGGGCCGGACTCTGGGCAGAGGCACATCGGATTACCAGGCGAAGCAGCAGGCAGCGGGCCACCAGGCGGAGCAGCAGGGCACCGGGCCCCCAGGCAGAGCAGCAGGCACCGGGCCCCCAGGCAGAGCAGCAGGCACCGGGCCCCCAGGCAGAGCAGCAGGCACCGGGCCCCCGGGCGGGGCAACAGGCATCGGGCCCCCGGGCGGGGCGACCGGGCATCGGGTCCCCAGGCGGGGCGACCAGCATCGGGCCCCCAGGCGGGGCGACCGGCATCGGGCCCCCAGGCGGAGTGGCGGGGCGGGTGCCGGACCCCCCAGGCGGAGCGACAGGTCTCGGGCCCTCAGGCGGAGCGGCAGGCGCGGACCCCCAGGTGGAGCGACAGGTCTCGGGCCCTCAGGCGGAGGGGCGGGCGCTGGACCCCCAGGTGGAGCGACAGGTCTCGGGCCCTCAGGCGGAGCGGCGGGCGCTGGGCCCCTAGGCGAGGCGGAGCGACAGGTCTCGGGCCCTCAGGCGGAGCGACAGGTCTCGGGCCCTCAGGCGGAGCGGCTGGCGCCGGACCCCCAGATGGAGCGACAGGTCTCGGGCCCTCAGGCGGAGCGGCGGGCGCCGGACTCCCAGGTGGAGCGACAGGTCTCGGGTCCTCAGGCGGAGCGGCGGGCGGGCGCCGGACCCCCCAGGTGGAGCGACAGGTCTCGGGCCCTCAGGCGGAGCGGCGGGTGCCGGACCCCCAGGCGGAGCGACAGGTCTCGGGCCCCCAGGCGGAGCGACAGGTCTCGGGCCCTCAGGCGGAGCGGCGGGCGCCGGACCCCCAGGCGGAGCGACAGGTCTCGGGCCCTCAGGCGGAGCGGCGGGCGCCGGACCCCCAGGTGGAGCGACAGGTCTCGGGCCCTCAGGCGGAGCGACAGGTTTCAGGCCCCCAGGTGGGGCATCGGCGGGCGCCGGACCCCCAGGCGGAGCGACAGGTCTCGGGCCCTCAGGCGGAGCGACAGGTCTTGGGCCCTCAGGCGGAGCGACAGGTCTCAGGCCCCCAGGTGGGGCGGCGGGCGCCGGATCCCCAGGCGGAGCGGCGGGCGCCGGACCCCCAGGCGGAGCGACAGGTCTCGGGCCCCCAGGCGAAGCGGCGGGCACCGAGTCACCAGGCACGACAGTGGGCTCCGAGTCAACTGGCATGACCGCGGGCACTGGGTCAGACATTGGATCGTCTGACTGGACAGCGGGCATCGGGTCACCAGGCATCAAGTCATTTGGCTCGACAGCGAGCACTGCGTCATCTGGCAAGGCAGTGGGCTCCGAGTCAACTGGCATGACCGCGGGCACTGGGGCAGACATTGAATCGTCTAGCTGGACAGCGGGCATCAGGTCACCAGGCATCAGGTCATTTGGCTCGACAGCGGGCACCACGTCATCTGGCAAGGCAGTGGGCTCCGAGTCAACAGGCACGACAGTGGGCTCTGAGTCAATTGGCACGACAGCGGGCACCGGGTCATCAGGTACCGGATTGTCTCGCTTGACAGCGGGCACTGGATCAGGTACCGGATCGTCTGGATCAACAGCGGGTATCGAGTCAACTGGCCTAATAGGATCATCAGGCTGGATCAGTTCATAAGGCTGAGTGGAGGCACCAGGCTGAGTAGAGGCACCAGGCTGAGTAGAGGCATCCGGCTGAGTAGAGGCACCAGGCTGAGTAGAGGCACCAGGCTGAGTAGAGGCACCAGGCTGAATAGAGGCATCAGGCTGAATGGCGGGTGCCGAGGCACCAGGCTGAACCACGGAAGGCAGGTTCTCAGACGGCAGGCTCACCGGTTTGGATACTGGCAGGATGGTATTGGTTGGAAAGAATTTTCGCTTTTTTCTGGTTTTAACTACTGGAGCACTGCAAGTAAACGCAGGTCTGCAAACGAATGGAGCAGCTGGAGACAGAGAAGAACTGGAGGATGGAACAGGAGAGGGAGCAGTTGCTACAGAGGGCTTTTTTACAGGGGTAAAGGCAGGATAGGTGCAGCGAGTGGGAACAGGGGACTGACATGCGGTAGATAGCAGGGCAGGAGGAGCTGTTGGGAATGCAGGAATAGAGTTTTGAGGAAATAGATTAGAAGCAGGACTGGGTTTTTGTAAGCTGACTGAGGCTGGGTGCAACAAGTCTGTCCATGTCTGCAGTATGGGTTGAACAAAGCTGAGCTTACACAAAGCCTGTCTGGTCAATGACTGCACTGCGTTTATACAATCTCTTAGTACCTGTGGTGAACATGTGGAATAAAGCTCCAGAAAGTAACCCACATCATCCTCTAATAACCACACCAGGGACTCTACCTGGTCTGCACTAAATGGTGGCAAAAATTCATCCCTGCATTCGGGGGAACCAGATGAAACCAACTCAGCACAAACCTCAATCAAAGGCTGCACCTCAGAGAACTCTGTGCCCTGATCTACTAGAACATGAGCGAGCCGTATACATTCTAGCAGTTCATCCCGGGTATACTCCTTCAGAGTTTGATAAGCATACTCCCTGTCATCAAACACTAGCAGATATAAATACACAACCTCATCCAGATCCATCCTTCCCATCAACAAACCAAGATGGCTTCCCTGTGCAGCCACTTCTGGTCAGGATTGGCCTTGGTGTAATGTCAGGGCTCCCGGGTATGACCAGAGGTGTGTGACTGACGCAGGGAAACGCAGACTTCAGATATGTTATAAACAATGTAATTTAATAACACTAACCATACAAACATAAACGCAGTGCAATACTAAAACATAACACAGTGCAAACGAACCAAACCAACCACCCACAGATAACAGTACATACAATGCAAGCATCGTCAGGCAGGCCGGGTCAATATCAGTCGGGCAGGTAGGTACAGGGGGAGCAAGCGGAGAATGGTCGGGGTCACAGGCCAGGTTCAGCAGGTAGCGGGCAGCGTGGTACAGAGGGTCAGGCAGAGGAGAATGGTCAGACAAGCCAGGGATCAGAGCAGGGTAGCAGAGAATCAGACAGGAACAGGGAGCAGGAACAGGATGCAGGGCCCAAGAGAAACACAACACCAAGGCAGAGTCTGCAGGTCTGAATGTCCCTTAAATACACCAGTATAATTAGTTCCAGGTGTTTGACTGGCTGCAAGGTTGAGTCTCTGATTGCTGGGAGCACCCGCTGGCCAGCCCTGGTACTGCAGCTCATAAGGCAGCTGAGTCCCACTATTGCTGGCCAGTCCATTCCTGACAATAGTACACCCAACCTTGGGATGTGTTTTTGAAGATCTCTTAAGAAGTTACTGTGGATTCCTTCTATTTAAGCCTGTCAATTAGGATGCAAGTTAGTGTTTTCATGGCCACTCTCCAAAGTGAGCTGCATATATTGATTCCAAATTACCTGTCCATCTACTAATGCAAAACAAAAAAAATACCCGTATTTGAGTGACAGACAAGTAACAGAGAGATTGAGAGTTGCAGCACTAAGGGCATTAACCATATCTTTTATAAGAGAGAGCTGGGCTAGCCAGCATTTCTATTGCCGAGGAAGGGGAGTGTAATTCGCCCAGAAATGCATCCAAACTAATAGCTGGAGAATTGTGCATGCACAACTTCAGACTTTTGCAACATTAATTTCCTCTGGTGGAGTCACATGAGAATCCTTTGTAAGGAAGCCAGAGCGAGAGTATAATCACAGGTAAAACTGCAGAATGTTACATAATTTAATTCATTAAAATGCCAAAACTTCACAACAGGCAATTGCTGTGCCCTTGTGCTTACTTTATATCAAGTTACACTGGGAAAGGTAAAGTGGTCGTAAAGGCTGAAGTTTTTTTATGCATGAAGGTATGCTGCTCCCACGACAGCCCCCCAATATTTACCTGAGCTCGATATCAATCCAGTGAATCTAGCACTGTGCACAGTAATCTCGGTTCTCCTGGGTCTCTCTCTTCTCATTGGCTGAGACACAGCAGTGGGAGCCATTGACTCCCACTGCTGTCAATCACAGTCAGTGAGGTAAGAGTGGGGCTGAACCATGTGCTGTGTGTCCTTTAGACGCGCAGAGCAGTGATTGGGAGTAAGCATGCCCCCAGCACAAGCGGCTTGCTATGGGAACAGTCAGCGGGGGGGGGGGGGGGGGGTGCCAGCAGGGAATCTGAGAAGAGGAGGATCGGGGCTGCTCTGTGCAAAACTATTGCACAAAGCAAGTAAATATGACATGTTTGTTATTTTTTTTAAACTTGAGCGTTTAATATCACTTTAATATTTTTTTTAAGGTTACGATTATATCTATAGTCAACCTTATAGTTATAACTGGAGCTAAGCTTAGGTAGATTATGTGAATATTTGCTACAATAATGACCAAGGATTTCTTACCCACTGTGGCTATTCTTCTACTGTGAAATTCTTTCTGCCCACACAGCCGCATTATTTATTGACATGAATCTGTGAATTAATAAATTACAAGTCCCATTTCCCAAGACCACAGGTGGACTTGTAGTTTCAATGGATTGTGACTGTGTTGATCAGCACACATGTAATCCATTCACTCTACGTGCAACTCTGAAGTTAACACCCCATATGGATAGTGATCACAGGCGCAATGCTCTTACCAAAAAATAATAATAAAATGCATTTGAGAAAACATGGTGAACATAAAAAGGTGAGTGTATTCCTTAAGGCCTGATTAAGAAATGGATTAAGAATAGGGTTAGGACTATGTTTACCGCTATCGTCAAGCTGAGGTTAGAAGCTGTGGGTAAATTATTAGAGAAAAAAATAAAACTATTTATTTTTCTTCACTAAATGTTATCACTTGAAGAGGAAAAAACATGTATATTCACAAATGCATCCCAAAAGAACCTCTTATCTTTGTTAAGAAACATGAAAAATTCACTTAGATATGAGATTGTGTAGGGGTGATATTAGCTAATCTAAGCATTAGGTTCTAACACAACTCACACAACCCAAGCGCTTTAAGGTTTATATGAATATTTATCTATAACTTGATAAAGTTACCTATGTGAAAAAATAAATAAGTAATCATAAAGCTGCACCCTATGTATAGTAAGTATGCTTACACCTAGATATTAAGCTATATATACAGTCATGCCGAAATTGTTGGCACCCTTGATATTTTTCCTGAAAAATCAAGTATTTCACACAAAAAAGGTATTTGCATTAACAATGTGTTTTGCTATACACATGTTTATTCCCTTTGTATGTATTGGAACAAATATAAAACAAGAGGCAGAAAAGCAAATATGACATAATGTCACACAAAACCCCAAAAATGGGCTGGACAAAAGTATTGGCACCCTTAACTTAATATTTGGTTGCACACCCTTTGGAAAACATAACTGAAATCAGTCGCTTCCTATAACATCAATAAGCTTCTGACACTCTCACCCGGAATTTTGGACCACTCTTCCTTTGCAAAACAGCTCCAAGGTCTCTCTTATTGGAAGGACACCTTTTCCCATCAGCAATTTTTAAGATCTCTCCACAGGTGTTCAATGGGATTTAGATCTGGGTCATTGCTGGCCACTTCAGAACTCTCCAGCGCTTCTTTGCCATCCATTTCTGAGTGCTTTTTGACGTATGTTTGGGGTCATTGTCCTGCTGGAAGACCCAGGATCTTGGACGCAAACCCAGCATTTTCTGACACTGGGCCTACAGTGCGACCCAAAATCATCTTTGGTAGATCCATTTTCATGATGCCTTGCACACATGTCAAGGCACCCAGTGCCAGAAGGCAGCCAAAAAAAACAACCCCAAAAAACATCATTGAACCTCCACCATATTTTACCGTAGGTACTGTGTATTGTTCTTTGTAGGCCTCATTCCGTTTTCGGTAAACGGTAGAATGATGTGCTTTACCGAAAAGCTATTCTTGGTCTCATCTGTCCACAAGACGTTTTCCCAGAAGGCTTTTGGCTTATCAAGTAATCTAGCACTGTGCACAGTAATCTCGGTTCTCCTGGGTCTCTCTCTTCTCATTGGCTGAGACACAGCAGTGGGAGCCATTTGACTCCCCACTGCTGTCAATCACAGTCAGTGAGGTAAGAGTGGGGCTGAACCATGTGCTGTGTGTCCTTTAGACGCGCAGAGCAGTGATTGGGAGTAAGCATGCCCCCAGCACAAGCGGCTTGCTATGGGAACAGTCAGCGGGGGGGGGGGGGGGTCGGGTGCCAGCAGGGAATCTGAGAAGAGGAGGATCGGGCTGCTCTGTGCAAAACTATTGCACAAAGCAAGTAAATATGACATGTTTGTTATTTTTTTTAAACTTGAGCGTTTAATATCACTTTAATATTTTTTTAAGGTTACGATTATATCTATAGTCAACCTTATAGTTATAACTGGAGCTAAGCTTAGGTAGATTATGTG